CCCCCCACCCCTGCAACCCATCTCCACTGCTGGCTGCCTTTTCAGGCTCCAGCCACCAAGGGAAGGACATTTTCCTGCAGCCATGGATGTAAAAGAGCTTTGGCACAGTCTTTCTCCACTCTTTACCCCAGCTGGCTGTCCCCAGACCTGGGGGGCTGATGCTGCAGCTCAGGCCCTCCAGCAAACCCCACAGCACCCGCTGTGTGTGGCTGCTGGGAGCAGGAGGCTTTGCCCTGGGGTTGGCAGGGTTTGCCCGGGGCTGCTGGGGCTCAGGTGGGGCAAAGACCTCAGAGGCCCCTGGGTCACATTCCCACCAAGCACACATGGCCAGGATGGCAGTGGGACATTCCCTGCTGCAAGATCCCCTGGAACCCCCAGCCATGGGGCTGGGAGGGCTCCAGTCTGACCCCTTGGAGTGGTACAGGATCACAGATTTGTTCTGGTTGGAAAAGACCTTTCTGATCATCAAGTCCAACCATTAGCCTAACTCTACTGAGTCTGCTTTAAAATCTCCCCAGGGATGGGGACTCCACCCCTGCCCTGGGCAGGCCCTGACAGCCCTTTCCAGGAAGAACCTAAACCTCCCCTAGCACAACCTGAGACCATTTCCTCTTGTTCTATCCCTCGTTCCTGGGGAGACAAGACCAACCCCTCCTGGCTCCAACCTCCTCTCAGCAGCTGCAGAGCCAGCAGGTCTCCCCTCAGCCTCCTTTGCTCCAGGCTGGACACCCCCAGCTCCCTCAGCTGCTCCTCATCAGACCTGTGCTCCAGACCCTTCCCCAGCTCCACTGCCCTTCTCTGGACATGCTCCAGTCCCTTAATGTCCTTCTTGTAGAGAGGGGAGCAATATGAAATCGTCACCACCAGCCCCTCAAGACCCTCCTCTCCATCTCTGCAGTTTGGCTTTGGGTCCCACGCTCCCTTTGCCAAGGACTGGCAGAGCCCCCTGCCAGAAGCAGGGAGGGTGGGTGCACTGGGTGTGATGTGGCTCTGCTGCCTCTGCAGCGGGTTGGACAATCGTTGGCTGCAGGTCTCCAGACATGGGCAGCTGGCCCTGCCCGTGCACGGGGAGCAGGAGCCAGCAGAGGGTAGCAGATGATCGCAGCCACCCAGTGCAGCTCAGGCAGGAGATGGCCAGAAAACTCCCCCAATCCCATCCAGCTTCTCCTGGGCCTTGTCCCACCACCTCATGCAGCTGTCTGGCCTGCCAGCCCAGGATGCCTGTCCTGGTCTCCCCATGGTGACACCACAAATGTCAGTCCCCATCACCCCCTGAGCTGCTCCCACCACAGCACAACTTCAGAACCCACTGCAAACCCTCAGGGCAAGGTCCCTGTCCCAGGACATTGCCCACGCTGAGGTCTTTGGGGATGAAAGCTCAGCAGAGAGCCACCAGCTTGAAAAAAAAGATGGCACAGGGACATCAAACGTCAGTTTTCCACCACCTAGAGAAGGGCTGTGGAGAAGGGAGAGCCAGCAGGGCAGGGCTGAGGGCAGGAGACAGGGGCAGGGATGCCACAAGGGAAACTGATGCACAGAAGGAAAAAAACCTTCTCTGAGTGCATGGTGCAATGCTGTGACAAGACCCACAGTGGTGGAACCTCCATCCTTGGGAGATTCCCAAACTTTACTGGACCCCAGAGGCTCAGATCACCCTGACCTGTGGAGCACACTCTGCCTTAAGCAGGAGGTTGAACTCGAGACCTCTGCAGGACCCTCCCATCCTACCTTTTTCTGTTATCACCTTCAGAAACCCAAACCCAGCATTTTCTCTTGGCTTTGGGCAGGTCTCCAGGAGCCAATGGCCTCCATGGGGTCCATCACACTTGTGATATAAAATGATATACTCACAGAATCTTTTTGGTTGGAAAAAACCTTTAAGGCCATTGAGTCCAACCATTATCACAGCCCTGCCAAGGCCACCACTAACCCACGCCCCTCAGCACCACATCTACACATCTTTAAAATTCCCCCAGGGATGGGGACTCCACACTCCACCCCTGCCCTGGACAACCTGGGCCAGGGCCTGACAGCCCTTTCCAGGAAGAAATTGCTCCCAAGATCCAACCTAAACCTTCCCTGGACAACTTGAGGCCATTTCCTCCTGTTCTATCCCTTGATTCTTGGGGGACAAGACCAACCCCCCCTGGCTCCAACCTCCTCTCAGGCAGCTGCAGAGCCAGAAGGTCTCCCCTCAGCCTCCTTTGCTCCAGGCTGGACACCCCCAGCTCCCTCAGCTGGTTCTGCTCAGACTTGTGCTCCAGACCCTTCCCCAGCTCCACTGCCCTTCTCTGGACATGCTCCAGGTCCTCAATGTCCTTCTTGTGGTGAGGAGCCCAAAACTGTCCCCAGGATTGGAGATGTGGCCTCACCAGTGTCAAGCACAGGGGATATGTCACTGCATCCTCTCTCTCTGACACAACCTCTACCGCTTTGGGAAGAAGGGACTGAGGAAAGACTGTTCCAGCTTTATTGGCTAAACAGCACAGCTTGGGTGCAGTCCCTGCCCAGGGCACGTCCAGCAGCACCCACCCCTTGCTCAGGGGGAAAGGAGGCAGCTTCCAAACCCCTCATGCCTCCGTGGGAGAGCAGGGTCTGTGCCAAGTCCAGGAGCCAGGTTTCAGTCTCCACAGCCAGGGTGGGATGTGGTCCCACTCTGCTACAGCTCCTGATCCTCCACCATCTCCAAGCTGGGGCATTCTGTTCCACACCCCGAGTGCCACCTGCTATCACCAAACCCCAACCACACACCCCACAGCAATTGGGGCAGCTAGGATATGGGTGCCAGGCTGGGAAAAATTATAGGGGAGGATTTTGGAGATGCTTGAAGAGCTTACTCCCCATCTCAGCTTCCAAAATGTCATGTAAAAACTCAGAGTGTCATGAATGGGAGAAAATGCTTAAGTTGATGAAGGAGCCAAAGACCTGCCCCACGAAAGGATTCTTGCCTCTGATGTGCTTCTCAAAACACTACCCACTCATTTACTACACCACAAAGCTCGTAACTTTAAAGCAAACCCAGACTAAATTCCCTGTGCAGTTCACAGCACTGAGCTGGAGTGAGGCTGATCTTCTGGGCGTGCCACGTGGGTCAAGTGAGAATCATAGAGAGACAGTAAGAAGGTTAGATGGAAACCAATTAACTGTGGGAAGCTGCCAAATGGACAGCTTAATGATCCCTGGTGCTGCTAAAAACACCCAGAGTAGGTGAAAGCTGTGGATGCCCAGTGCTGCTGGGCATGGCTGCCTGGAGAGGGGCCAGGGCACAGCCCTGCCAGAGCAGGCACACGTGCCCACACACCCAGGGAAGTCCAGCCTCCCAGCATCAACTGGAGATGGTTTTTGGGATGGTGACCCATGGGGGGAGCAGGGCAGAGCCAGGCCCACCCAACCCACAGGGCTCAGGTGGCCACAGCCCTGACCCTCCTGCTTTGATTGCCAGCCAGGACTGCAAACACTGCCCGACCCCCCCCCTGCCTCCAGCCCTGCTCCCCAGTCCTCCCCGCAGCCCCAGACGGGGAAGGAACTCACG